TGAAGTGATGTAGTGTCATCGCTGACTTTAGATTTGTGTCTTTAACTTTCCATGGGTTTAAGTGAGTGGGATTTTGAAACGTGGCTGTGGTTTTATCGACTACAAAAAAAAAAGGTTGCGAGCTGAAGTGTCCTGATTGGTTGGAGGAGGTCTGCGAAGCTTTGGCCTTACTGACACGTTTTATTCTTTTTCCTTTGTATAAAAAAAACAACAACAAGCGTCTCCGTAGGCTTTTCACTACCTCTCATGTTGGTTAATTTATTTCACATCTAGTTGTCAATGTACAAGTTGTTTTTAGATCTACTTGAAGCCTAACACTGTAAACAAAAATGTGCACAGAAAAATGACTATGTATATGACCAGAGGGGTTAAAGAGAGCTTGGCCTAGTCGACATTATTTCTTTGTTTGTTTGTATGTTTGTTTTTAATTGTGTTGAGCTGAACTAGATTTTGCATCTCTATAAAGAATTCAGGAATCCACTGTCTAAGGGCTAATCCCATTTTTGCCTATGCAAATCTGTTACTGTGGGTGAGTTGGGAAAGGGCGAGCTACCGCACCTTTCACCTGTTTGATGGACCATGGTTTACAATGCCCTTTGCTGATATTCTTCAATCTTATTCAGCAAAAATGTACGCTTTCTTTTGTTTCTATATAAATATTATATATCTATATATATAGATATACTGTATATATAACAATTAATATACAGAGAAAATAGTATATGCCTTCGTGATTATAAAAAAGAAACCTTGCTGAAAACAAATAAATGTGTTGTTGTCTGACATGTGGCTGTGTGCTGGAGTCTTGGTAAAATGACGACTGACAGAAGAGTTTACTCACTAACCCTCATGACTACAACAGGATACAAAACCAGTGGCTGACCTTTTGCAGTATTCCCTAACTGAGGGGAAACACGTTTATTTATCTAAGGAGAAACCACATCATGACTTTCTGTGACAAGTACTTTATTCCAGCCCTTATGTCTTTTTCATTTTTCAGTGTAACATTTGGTCAATTTTAAAGCAAGACTATGTATCTTTTGCTTAACCTAAGCTATAGATGCCACTGGTGACAGTAAATGGGTGGAAGCCAAAACATTGTGTTAGAAATAGAGACAAGTCATAAAGTCAGCAACTGACTGTAATATCAATAAAAGGGTGAGATCTAGGAAAATATTGCTAGCATTAGCTAAGATTAGCCGCTCGTGGCTACACTCAATCTAAGTAAAGCTGCAACGCCAAAATGTTTGAGCAGATCAAAATGAGAAAATGTTGAGTTTACTGCTCATTAATTAAACTTTTCATTAGGAACACACACACGCTTTTGTTATTTTTGTTGAAAAGTTGCATAGTCTCTCTTTGAATGGCTGAATTTGAGCATGGACACTGTCCATATTAAGTCACATTCTTTATCCAGTCATCTGTTAATAAAAAAGAAAATCCATGTTATATGAAATGATAAAAATGTGATGGTGATAATCTTTTTGTTGTGCGTCAGTGGAGCCTGCACAGATGTTAGTGCGAGTTAATAATTAAAAGTGTGCAGCACGGTGTCGTCTGCAAACAGCAGGAAGTTACTCTACAATCCTTCATCTTCTTATTCTTTATGTAGCCACATCCAGTCAGACTATCACTGTGCTAATACAGTAGCATTGATTTAGGACACATCAGCAGAAGTGGGCTTTCTGTTTTTTTAATACTCCCCTAATGCAAGGTGTAAGAAAAGTCAATACTATGTTACTTATAAGACCGTTCACTCTGCTCCTGAGAGCATCTTTAAGCTTCGAGTTGAGGGTTGATTTAGGTCTGATAATTTATTTTTTAACTCTTATTTGTACAGAAGATTTAGCTCCGTGGAAATGACAATAGGAGGGTTGATGTATAGATTTTTCTCCTTAAGTACTCACAGTGCATGATGACTGAACAGAGATAGGTTTATCGACTGAAGGTGGTTAGAAACGTGATTTGGTGCCTCTTTACGCTTCACAACAGACCTCAAGATCTCTTTCTGTCTCTCAAATAAAATAGCAGTTAAAGTGAGATGGTCCCGTTTTACAGCAAATATAACACCAATGTTTATTCCTCCTCCTGACGCCCTCATATTGTCTCTTTTGTACCTCTTCGAGAGGTGTTTGTGCTACTTGAAGGAAGAGTTTATATTTGTGCAGGTACCTGGTTGAAGTTTCAACAATTTTAGGCAATCACTTTTCTCTTTATTGATTTAGATGCCTAAACCTCCTGGTTTTTGTCATGCCTTTGTAGATAGATCACAGTCGTTAAGAGATGATCCGCAGGTGAAAATAAAAATAATTTTACTGTCACTTTACGCGATAAAATACAAGTGACATTTTTCTATTCAGCATGCTTTTTGCTAAATAAATGAAATAATTCAGTTATTTGCTATAAACGATACTGTATGAGTATGTATTCAAGTACTGCAGTATGCAGACATTACAAATATCAGAAACTCTCTTGAGAGGTTCATATTTTTCTTCTAGTATGTTTCACTAATATTGGCGGTTATGGGTTCCTAATTCTTGTTCGAGTGTCTCGTGAATTGCCAGAATGACTAAATGACCCCCTCTGTATTAACGAATATACACTATGGTTGGTTATTTCCACATGCATGACTCGCAGAGTAATTTTACCTGGACAGTTAAAGTGCAGCCAGCTTCACTTTGACTATTTTCCACTGGAAGCTTGAAAAATGTGATGATGACTGAGTTTTTTTCACATGAAGGAAGATGTTTTCCTTGTGCACTAATGGTCAACAAAATGCAGAGTTAATGTATCATCTTGCCACACAACGCAAATGTGACCTCAAGGCTTCAGATGTTAAATGTTTAGGTGAGGAAAAAATGATGCTGGAGCTTCGAACAGCAGCGAGTAAGCTGAAGAGTTTAAATCAATCCTTGAACAGAAGTCGCTGTCTGGAACGCCCCGATATGCAGGAATCTCTTCACTGTAGCAAAGAAAATACATTCCTGTGTTATTAGTCCAACCTCGATTGAACACCATCTTCTGTTGTAGAGTCTAACAGGATTTAACAGATTTAACACGACTGAGCATTTGGGAATTTGTACATTGTGAGAAACATTTAATCATGTTGGTGTTGGCAATCCTCTGCATGAATAGAAAGCCTTTATTGTCATTGTACAAAAAATATACAAGGAGATTTTGGAGTGCAACCCTGTCACCAGTTCAATACATAAATATGCCTTTTTTTTATTATTATTATTATTATTATTTTGTCTGGCTAGAATTTACAAAAGTTGCAAAATTGTAAAACACCCTTTTTTTGATGATCACCTTTTTCCTGACATGAGAGTGCCGTTTAATTCAAATAAGCAAAAACAATTATTCAAATCCTTTTAAAATAAATTGTTGAGCTACGTAAAGTCAAAAGGAAAAGGGTTGAAATTTCCCTGATAAACTTATCAATGCAACTCTCCCAGGATGCGTATTAGGAAATAAAACATGCCAAATTTATAATCTAACTTTTGTTTTAATGCAAAAGGGTCAAAGGTATTGTTGGAATATGAAATCATATATTTTGTTGCAAATGTTCCTTAAGAATCACATTCTGTTAGCTGTCTTTTCACGTTGCTGTCGTGGGTTTTTGTGTCATTTCTCTGAATCATCCACATGTAATCTACTTCATGGACATGTAACTAAGAGACCTTTACAAGACTCTGTAAACAGCAATTTGACAAATCTGGATTACAAGCAACCGTTCCAACTGAAATTGTAATTGTCACAAAAAACCTGTGAACTATTAAAAAAATGTTTTGTATTCTTATAAATTATTTTAACAGCAGGTTTATTTCAGTCATGTTTTCTTCTTTCAGTTTACTGAAAGTGTTGTTTATTCACCTTTATCTTCACACGAGTCACATGACCAGCGTGTTCAGTTGTGGTTCATTTTGAGGTTCAGTCTTTGTCTTTCTTTACATGATGACATCTTGTATTAAGAGAAAACTCCAATCTATGGTAACTGCCCTTGAATATCTGTAATTTAAATAGTGCTGCTAGAGAAAGAAATCTAAATGTAACAACTTACAATAAATACTTAATAGATTTTTGCCAAATGTGCCTGTGTCTTTCTTTGACTGGAGGTGTGCGATGTAGTTCCTGTATGCAGTTTTAAAAAAAACATTGTTCCGTCAGGGTGCAATTTTACAACACCACAAGTATTAAGGTTTCCACATTTCAAAGGCCCTTTTCTCAGCAAAAAAGAAATCACATTTCCTTATCCATAAGTAAATTACAGTTTTTCTCGATTGCTAACACACTAAAATGATACATACAGCACAATTATTTTAACTGACACTCAAAGAGCAAAACATCGGCTCAAATCTCCAAAACTCTAAACACGTTTTCAGCTTTTCACACAATTTGCAAATCAACATGGCACTTTTTGCAAACCACTGCACACGTTTCTCCACGTTAGACACAGGAATCTGACATAAAGTCACATGTTAGCTGGTTTAAAACACTGATATTCAAAATGCCTCACACATGGACCAATGATCAAGAAACACGTGACCAAACACCTGATCGCATAATTGTTGGCTCATCAATCAGGATGTTAGCACTATAAAAAGACCACAGGTGAGCAGACTACTTTCTTACAGCACAATAGAAGCCAATCCAAGAAAGCACGAGATGTGGGCGTGGAGTGAGAGGAGAGGAGGAGAAGAGCTAGAGCTGGAGGGAGAGACCATGGTTTTAGACGAGACAGAGTGTATTCAGCTAATCTAAGACACGATGAACTGTTCCATCTAATCCGGCTAAGACTTGAAAACGGTTACAGTTGTAGCTCTGCATATTAATGATATAATCAGTGCTTATATCTGTTGTGTGAAATTTTTTTTACTTCATTACTGTAATTGAATTGTTGGCATGTTGCATACTACAATGTACACAAATCTCTGCCAATGTACAGTGGTAAGACTGACTTTCATGCAACACAGACACCTGACAACCCAAATATCTTGTGTTTATCTGAAGGACTGAGACACAAGAGGTCAGTGGAAGGTTAAGGATTTTCAATGAGGCACAGGAAGCAGCAGTTACAAACTTGGTTTTGGCAAACAATGCCATGCACACTTAGAGAGATCTGAAGCTAGTAACTATGAGCTGTGGCATGTTACACAAGTTATTTTTGAATAAAATGTGATTTTTCAACATCTCATTTGTATTTCTTAATTTTACGTATTCTGTAAACTCAAGGCAAGCAACTTTCTCTNNNCCCGGACCCCCCTAGAGGATGTGAGGTCCACCCCAAAATAAAGCAGGTTAAAATAATTAAACTGCATACATTTTCTTTTAGCAAACACTGAAAACGGGTCCCACATGACCCAAACAGCACACAAAGTATAATGTTAAAATGTGTTAAATATATACACTTCAAAAAACAAAAACAAGAGAAGTAAAAGTAGCGCACTACTACTTATTTTTTGAAAGTAGCTCTCATCCTAAAAAAGGTTGAAGACCCCTGCATTAGAGCGTAAAAACTGTAACTATAAGTATCTGAAATAAACATGTGTACTAAAACAAACACCAATAACTGTATTGCATTGTTTTCTTATGCACAATTACTTCATACTTTCTTTGTCTTTTTCGTCCCGCATTTATTGTGCCCCCCTCAGAAAATAACTGGCCCCAGCCTGGCCCCCCCAGTCAAATTGGTCTAGAACCGCCACTGATGAAGGGATTACATTTTGCATTAGGACCTTTACATGCACCTGTTGATTTTCCCTACCTGCGTGGCTCTGCTGCCGGACCTGTGCGAGGGGCCCATGGCGATGTTGACGCTGGACGAGGACTGCGTGTCCGTGGTGTTCCCCCCCTCAGCAGCGGACAGCCCGGAGATCACCAGGCCGCTGGAGAAACTACGCTTCCCAAACAGCAAGCTGAGAGTGGACGAAGACGAGGAGACCTGGGAAGACATAGGTGTGTACAGTAAACACTAAGATTAGATTAGAAAACACAAATATGCTCATGCACAACAATTATCTGTAACTGAGAATAACTTTAAGTCAATATTACACTATAACCACACGCTTTAGCCTGAAGGTGTGTAATGTTTCCTTGATAAGATTTTGTTATAATGAGAGGGATAAAATGCTGAATGTTGCTTCAAGTATGCAGTGATAATTACATAAACAATTTAACATTTGCACAAACAATATGCAGTGTAATTCAGGGGGTTTACTGCTCAACACTTAAAATACAGAAAACTGGTGTGGCATGAGAATCCTGTCATGGAAACATTTCAGTTTGAATGGAGGGGGTATACATGTTCCTATTGCAAGTTGAAGCAACTTTCTGACCTCTCAGTATTAGACTTCCTTTATTTCTATCTTTCATGATGTGTACAATATAGTAATTAAACGTCTCAGACAAACATTATATTTAGAGTTATAGGATAAGCAACCATTTGTAAGATGAACTGTGTATGTTAAGTCTAAAATACAATATTCAAGGATGGTTTTTTTCTAAGTATTCTTTCATTTAAACATGTTTCATACAGGGTTTTCATTGCCCTTTATCAGGATTTGGGTAAACTGCAAGTGTATAATTTTCAAGTGAGTTAAAAAAAATGTATATCTTCATCTGATCTCGTGTGTTTGTCAACAGAAGGTGTGGATGTAGAGAAGTGTAACTAGCATTAACCTGGCTGCTGCGCTGCTGATGCTGCGCTGCCTGGATTTGCGAGTTGATCCCACCGGCTCCTGAGAGACGGGGGACCTGAAGAGAGAGAAACATCCTCTTATTGTTTTATACTCCTATTAGAGGATGCATGCTTCAGAGTGTGTGTTTGTGGGTGAATACCTGTGAGAATATAGAGGCTATGGAAGTGTTGAAGGACAGCTGACTGTTGGACAGACGCTGGACGAGGCCGTGGGTGGAGCCTGAGTCCAGGATGGGCCCTGATTGGCTGGTGACGGGGGGGCGCTGACTCTGAGGCTGCACCGACCGACTGCGGTGCTCTCTCCTAGCTGCAGGAACACACACACACCAAAACTTTATAATCTAAAACAAGAATAAACATGTGTGTAAAGATGTTTTATTTGTGATAAGTCTGATGAATCATGTACCTTTTAATACTTTGTAATACAAAATAACATTAAATCAGTTCGCTGTTTAACTTCAATGCACTAGATGTAAAAGTCATTATTGTTCATTGTATTTATTACACAATATCTACTGCAAACATTATTCCAGGGACACTTCACATTAATGCACATTGCTGTAAAATAGTTTCCCACGAGGCTACTTTTGTAGTCCCTGTTTCAAAGTCACCATAAACATGGACTGTTCGATGCAAAACAGTTGTTGGTGCTGACAGATCTGTGAACACATTTTAGGGTTATGGTTCTGGTTGGTGTATTAAATGCAGTCAATAGAGATTCTCCACAAAGGATAGTGAGACACGTGTGTGTGTGTGTGTGTGTGTGTGTGTGTGTGTGTGTGTGTGTGTGTGTGTGTGTGTGTGTGTGTGTGTGTGTGTGTGTGTGTACCTGCGTTGTGGTGCCTGCGGCTGTGTGTGGTCCTGGCTCTGTGCTGGTAGAGGCTCAGGCTGTTGGACGCGACAGAGGACGGCCGGTTGTTGCTCAGCGATGACGAACCACCAGCACCGCAGTCCACATCCTCCATGTTCACACCACTGTTACAGCTGGTCAGGTTGTCCTTACGCACCCTGAAAACACACACACACACACACACACACACACACACACACACACACACACACACACACACACACACACACACACAGCTCAGATTTACTTATTTAGTTCACATCAGTCTAAGGGACACAAAATGGCCATCAAAAATGTAGCAACTCTTAAGTATTCTAGCTTGTTTAACAAACATAAATAAATACACAACAAGGGAGAAGTTACGTAACTCTGCTGGCAGACGGAACACACACTACTGCAGCCTTCCTCTTAAATTACTTAAATGTGTTCAAGCTGACGAGGCACAGCCCGTCTCCCTGGCTCCTCGGCTACTTACTGAAATTAAGAATACACCTTTAACTCGAGGCCGATGAAACCGGATTTACAAACTAATCTAATCTGAAAGGAAAACTCAGCCTCTAAGAAGCTTAAGAGAGAGCTACACACACACATTAGCTGACCTGCAGAGGTTAATGCAGAGCCTATACCATAAGCTATGCTGTAGGGACTGGGTGAAAGAGAAAAAGATAGAGGGACGGAGGGAATAAAGGAGCAACAAGGGTAATATTGTTGGCTGTCCTCCCACTCTGCAATCCTCTCTCTCCCACTGCCCTTGTGTCTGTGTTTAAAATGACAATAAAGTTGGCAGTCCCTCCTCAGCACTGACTTCCACTAAGTCAATAACTGTAAATGCAGAGAGGAGCACTGACTCAGCATTACACTGCGGTTTGCACCTTACCCAGAGGGATTTACACCAAATACAACCAGCTGAATAATAAGTAAACACTTTGAAGTTACTAAACTACATTGGGGTTAAGATCTTAAACCCAATGTTGTGTTTTGGGGTCCCAGACCCCCCTAAACAGCTAAAAAAAAAACATTCTTATTGCTGTTTTATCAATTTAATACTTCATAAACTTTTCCAATTTCACAATGAGTGCTCAAGTGATCGACTTTCTTTTCAAGAGGGTACTGGATATTTTGCAGCGCTTAAATGTATTTTAGTGCAATAACTTTAATACAATAATAACAGTTATTCTAATGGGAAATTATATTGTACTTGTTTTTGCCACTTATAATTAGGTTGTTTTGTTTTTGTGATTGTTTGCACTCCTTTAGTACAATGTCAAAAAGAGCCTTCTCTTTTACAAACAACAAATTGAAACTAACTACTATCAGTGTGTAAGACATATTACATTACATTGTGTGCTTAATGCTTATACAGCTCGCTTTGAAGCGATTTTGGCAAAATGATTAAGGAAAACAATATTATGTGTACCCAAATACCACTTGAGCAACAACCCCAGGCTGAAAGGGATTAAATATATGACATACTGTAGATGTTTTTGCTTTATAATGCTAAATAAATTAAACCGAGCTGGTATCAAATGTTGAGATACACTTCTGAGCTTTCCGGGTATCTAGAGTAATTCAAGTACGTTTTTCCAGGAAATGAATCCATGACCTCTCAGTTACAGCACTGCCTTATTACCCACTAGACCGAACTTAATATAAAATGATGAGAGACTTTAGCATGTGAGGAATGTTAAGTTATCAGTACACTCAAAGGGAGAGTTTTTAAGGGAGGTCCGAATAGGCAAGGAGGAAAGGACTTTGCTTTTGACTGTGGTGGTGGGAATATAACATATGCTTTTAAATATGCAGAAATGTATTTATTCTCTACTGACCGTAACCATTTGGAGCAGAGCCAGGATCGTATGGCGTCCAAGCTTAAAGCGCCTCCTCCGATGCTGCGGAGCGTACGATGTGTTCCTGCGTACGATGTTGTCAGTGGTGACACATACCTAGAAGATATAGAAAAAACATCAGCGTCTAACACATAGACAAAACTATAACGATTTTTTTTTTGTCATATCCAAAATGCATCAAGCAGAGGGTGAATGAGCAACACTGACGCAAACTTTAAATTCAGTCATGAAAGCTTGTAATGTCGGTGTCATGCTCAACACTTCTAGCTGTGACCGACACGTACATGGGGTATCCCAGCGGCTGGTCGCAGGACGAGTTCACCATGTTCCTCAGCGCCTGCTTCGAGTTCTGGATGCTGCCTCGCTCCGGGTTACGGTTTCTTAAAAACACCAACTCCTGCTGCTGGCCTGCCCATAGACCTCGCACACACTCCTTATTGATCTGCAGACAGAGAATCAGATTACATCATATAAAAGAATATATAAATACTTTTTAAAGTAACTTCTGTTTGATCATCCTCCATTGGAAGAAATATTTGATTGACAATGGCATACTGTAAACTATGTTCCGACAGCTTCTGATAGCTTGTATATAAATCCCTATTCTAATAATGTCACCTAAGTACAGAGATTTATATGAGGAGCGCTAAACTTGGAAGCAAATACAACTATTTGATCATCTATTCTCTTCGGCTTAATCCATGAGAGAAGAAAGACAGATAGGTATTTGTGATAGCTTGGATGAACTTTGTTTTTTGTCCCTATTCTGCTCCTTTTCAGGTTCATATGTGTATTGTGTGCCTCTACTGTGACATGCTTTAATGTTTAAAAGATCTTTATTTTTCTCATACTGCCTTTTCTGCAGCACCTCTTTTCACCCTCTGTCTGAAACCAGAGCCCATTTTACTCTGATCACTGACCACTTAGATATGTCCCGCCCCTTAGCCTATCACGTACAATGTGTTGGAGCGCTAGCCTATAGAAGCGTGAGTGTGACATAGTGATGCCATTATATTAGGTAAGTAAATAAAGGAGTCTGGAGGACACACTACAGGAATAGGAACACCCTAAAAAGTCTTTGACAACATTTTCAAACTCAAAAAATTGACTCTTACCTTGATGACCTTGAAGCTGAGGTGGCGTTTGTACAGCATGATGACCTTATACTCGTCCGTGCCGTCGTCGATCATGTGTCTCAGAGTGAGCAGCGTGTCGCGGCTGGACAGCACCGCCTTACGCCAGGCGGGGTCGCTCTCGTGGCAGATGACCAGGCTGCTGCGGTAGTTTGTGATGGCTTCGTACAAGATGGAGGCCTCCTCGGTCTCCTCCAGGCAGGTGAAGTGATCCTGAAAGGCATAATGGAGCACTTTAGTATTTTGATCAGACTGTAGAAAACAGTCTGAGAGTAACAGCGTCAGCCATTTAAAAAAAAAAAGCATGGTGTACTTTACCTGATGCAGCTTGAGGCTCATTCTGACTGCAGGAGCCACCACTTTCTGCAGGAGGTCAAGGTCAGCAAAAACCCACTCGTCTTTGGTGGCGATGCGGAAGTCGCCTTTAAAAAGGGTGTTGAAACCGTACAGAAACGATTCCAGACTTTGTGGGAAGGCAGAGGTTTGTGGGGGAAAAGTAGATATAATGGGAAAGAGGAGAAAGAGGGGAGATTGTTTTTAGATTATAAAACCACACAAAGACAGAAAGTCATGAGTTCAGTGTTTGGATAAAAAGTTGGTTTCTACCGCCCCCCTCAGGTGAATCTATCAAACTGCAGGCAACGCAAATAGTAGGCCCCTGCTACTGATACTCTGAATAAACGGTTTGTATTGCCCTTTAGCTTGAATAAGGTTTACCTGTTGGACATGTTGTGCGATGCCGTGCCGAGGGATCTCCTCCCCAGGACGGAGAGAGCGTAAGACAGAGTGACCAAAGGAGAGTCTTCATCACTGTCCACAGGCTGGACACAAGCACAAAGACAGGGGAAACATGAAGACATATAGAGAACATATAAAAACAAGTACAGATCCTTCTCAAATGTTGGTCTTCTTATGACCTTAACATGTCATCTGAGATACATTATCACTGTAATTACTCTTGCTTTAAACAATTCGCCGGTCAAAAGAGGAAAAAGGACGATGTTTTTATGATAGAATAACAACTATTCAGTGAAAGACTCATTCCTCCGAGATGCACCACAGATGTTATGTAATTTATTTTATTCTATATTATACATTCTAAATTGAACATCTGTCAATGAAAATCTATTTCCCCCTGGGATTATTAAAGCATTTCAGATTCTTTTTTAAACAGTATCAGATAATCACTAGTTTCCTCCTCTCAAATGAGAATATTTGCTGGATCATTAAACTAAGAATGTCAGACTTTGAACTGCTGGTACGAAAAAAGAATCAATGTAAATATTTTGATAGGCATTTTTTAAAACTATTTTCTGATATTTTAAAGACTAAACAGGTTAAAAAAAAAGTTCAGTGAGACCCATGATGAGGCTTGATAGGATAATCGTTAAGTGGCGTACCGTCTCCATCTTCCCAGCACAGTGCTGGATCCACTCCAGGTAGACGTTGCAGAAGCTGGCGCGCGTCACTCCCTGAAGGCAGTGCACGTAGTCTTCATCGATCTTCACACTAAAGACCTGAGGGTCGCGCTCGATGTGGTGCCACTTGGTGTAGGACAGCAGCGCCTCCTGCACCGGGACGTCTTTCAGCCAGGTGGAGAGTTTGGGAGACTGGATCAGGTAGTAGATGATACACTGGGGGGAGGGACCAGATCAAAACAAAAATACTAAGCACAAAGAGAGCACAACAGAAAGAGATAGCTGTGTTGTCGATGCTGGACACATCTGGAGCAACTATTGGCAAGCTGTCGTGTGTAATAATGATTAATGCATAGATACAAGTCTATCTATTTAACATTTTGGCAGGCGAATACTTAAGAGCCCTTGAGACAAGAGCGGGTGATTGAATATGTCAAAGGTCGATGCCTTATTAGAGCTGCACAATATTACCTTCCATAACAGAGACTCAGTTAATTCAGTGTATTCAAATATCATCTTATAAACAACAAAAAGAGATAACAGGAGGGCGTGAAGTATGCTAAGGTGTTTTGACATTGCTGCAAAATGTGTCTCGGCATCGACATTAAGCTAGGCTCACATTCATCTATATGAAAAACGAATTTAACATTTATTTTAACTCTGAAATACGTTAAGATAGGGACCTAATTTACACTATAGCCGAGCTTAAACAAACACAACAACAAGAAGAAGAAATAATAGGCACTATTAAAGATAAATAAGAACGAAATAAGATAATATGAGTTCAAATGTAATTCAAATTAATCAACCAAGTAAAAATTAGAAGTCAGGTCTGGTGTAACAAGAACATATATTTTCAACTGACACAAACCAACTAACTAACTATCCTTGCAGTTGAAATGTTTACATCAGAATAATGTTTAAATAATTATAACTAGTGACGTAGTAAAGAGGCAATATGTCTTGTATACTCTTTACTTTAACAAAGTGATATCATTTACTACTTAAATGCAGCGTACCTTCAAGTAGTAGGTGATGAGCAGCTTTCGGAGGTCGTACACCTGCAGCATGGTGGCGGCGTTGTTCTCACTGATGCTGTAGCCCTCCAGCAGGTACTTGGTGGCCATCACCTCCCAGGCCAGCCAGCGCAGGTTGAAGGCGGCGTTGCAGGACAGCATGTGGGGCAGGTGACCGGGCTCACAGCAGCAGCAGGAGTCGTCCTCCTCCACCCCCTCCGTGATAGCCTCCACCTCCCGCTGCTGGCAGTATGTTCCTGGGAGATCGAGAGATGAAGGTGATCATTCAAAGAGCGAGTTATAATATTAGGGCTGTCAAACGATTAAAAATTTTAATCAGATTAATAACAGCTTAAAAATATATTAATCATGATTAATCACCATTCGAACTACCGTATGTCCAAAATATGCCTTTTCTTTATGTATATTGTTGTGGGAATGGAAAGATAAATGAAAGAAGGCGGATATATCCATTTAACATACAGTATGTATGTATGTTTATTATAACATTATTCTGTGTGTCAAAATGAAAGACAGCCCACACACCTATCAATCATCAAACCGCGGGGTCTTAATTCGGTTGACGTAGTTTTGGTACAATTCCGTTGTACAGACCGACGTTAACAGCAGCCCTGCGCTGCCACTGGTGGGATGTATGGGGCGGGCCATTCTGCACATGCGTTAAATGCGTTAAATATTTTAACGCAATTAATTCAAAAAAGTAATTATCGCCGTTAACGCGATAATTTTGACAGCATTAATATATATATATATATACATATATATATACAGTGCAATAATTATTTCATGCTAAATGAAGCTCTGCTGCTTGGATACCACTAGATCTTGTTACAGCTTAATATAAAAGTACATAACGATTGATGTGTAAATTAGCATAATTACTAGCTAGCCGCTAGCTGCTAACTGCCGCCTCGTTAATAACAAATCTATCATAATAACAATCCAGTACCATGCTGTCATGAATGCGTAGTGCTGTTACGCATACGCAAATTGTCGTGCTTGATGTGAACGAGCATTTTGGGGGGCGTGGTTAAAGTTGCGCATGCGCTATGAGCGCACATACGGGTACTTCTCAGGCATGCCGGGTAATCTGTGACGTTTCGCTCTCTCATGAAAAGTTGGGCCATTTTATCATCATGCGCCAATGAGCAACTCTCATAGGATTGAATGAGGGGCCCCGCCTCCCACGCTGTATCTAGGGTTGCGGTCGGATAATCCAAAAATCAGCTCCTAACGTCTAACCCTATCGTCTATTCCTTGACCTCTGAGTGACGCTGTTTACAAGTAGTTCCAGCAAACATCCACTGATAAATTGCGATGTTAACAACCTCATGATAACTTCATATGTTTTTAACTTAGGATCATACCTGTGTTTAGTCTAGAAATAGGTAAATGTGTGCATTTTATTATAAAGTTGTGTATACAGTATTTACAGACCGTTGCAAAAACTAAGAAGCTTATAAAAATCAGGTTTAAAACAAAAATAGCTTTACAAAAAAGTAACACATTTAAAGATGTTTGGAGTTTTATTTGAGTTATTAATTTTAATTTTTTGTCAAAGAGATGCTGATTTGAAACCGTTGTTACATACAGTTACGGCATTTCCTGTTTCTGCCGGAGAGAGGGGAGGCCGTCCCAAAAAGCTTGCTGCTGTATTTACTCCCTCCATCTGATAGGAGGGAGCCTCGTTGAGCTGCGAGTGTTCACTCCGTCACGGAGGGGTAGGGTCGAGGGAGTGGTTTGGGATTGGGCCTTAGGCCCTTTCTTACTTCTCTTATTTTTCATTTCCTTGCTCCTCGGTCTCGGTCTCACCGGAAGTTGATTTGTCTGCGCCATCTTGAGTAGCGTCCAACTTGTTGGGTGGTAACCGAGGCTAACAGTGGGAGCCCAGTCTACCGACTCAACGTCACCCAAAGCGCTAGGGCACCCTAAAAATCCCACTGTTAGCCTCGGTTACCACCCAACAAGTTGGACGCTACTCAAGANAGTACATGGCACACACCTGCCTGGCGGTCGGTTAGCTCGAGTTCGGTATCCTTGGGCGTCGCCGGGCGGATGGAAATAGTGCCGACTTAGAGAAGTTGCGATATACTTCCTATTGAAGAAAAAGTCCCGTCCCCTTTCCGATGGTCATGCGTCCGATGACAGGGCGTCGACGACACCCTCGAGGCCGATGACGTGTAATGAGTTCTCTGCAACACTTTTTATTTTTACTCAACCACCCCGTAATACCGTGGATTGGTGAGGCGTTCGACGGTGTCGGCGCACGGCCCCTACTTTTACAGACCGCAACGGTACAAGCCGCCGGACCGTTGCCCGCGGTCAACTACCAGTGACCTAAAATGTCGGTTAGCGCCTAGCAACTTCGGGGAGCCAGATTATACAAGCGCCTCGAGTGTTAAACTCACACCCGTTGTGCTCTTCCTGATCGTCCGGACTGCAGCGCGGGCAAAACGGAAAAGTGGGTTTGTTGCCCTGTTGGCGGAAGTGCTTTGCGATACACTAACAAAATCGCAATTATTTGGCTTTGGTTAAATTGTTAGTAAACGAACCAGTTTCTCATGGCCATATGGTGACCCTCTGTTAAATAAAAAAAATTCGTCTTATATAAAAAAAATCAACCCGGGCTCGCCCGTTCACCTTTCAGCAATACGACCGGGGCCACAATTTATCACGAAGCTCGGTTCGCCTGTAAAATACGCTCGGGACGAGAGACAGTGACACGTACACACCATTACAAACCACGTTCAAATCTGCCCCGGAACGCACACACGGACGCACACACTGACAACAGATCTAACTCCCTTCTTTTCCTCTCGAGTAAAACGGCGCCGTAATCTCAACTTCGGTCACCTTTAAATCTTAAACTTATCTTGGCAAACACTTCCTATGAGCTGAACAAGTGCTACAACCCCGCAGATATATATTAATATTGTCTCTGTAGCCCGTACCTCACGTCTAGGATTGCTATAAACCATTAAGCGAACAAGTTTATAGCCATAGAGCGACGGTTTGAGCCTCAGAGGGATTCAAGCGAGTCCGATTTCTGTATCATTTCCATACCGGTGGGTCCTAGTCTAAAGTATTTTCTTTTTGCATGTTACAAAATACGGAACACACGATTTATAAGTTCTCTATACCTCTGTATTTTCCACAATTTCTCGTTTCGACCTCCTTTATTCTATACTTTTTCTCTGGACACAAACTATGTACCGAGAAAAGAAAGAGTATATGATAATCCCAATACACTTTCAGAAGCGATACCGTGTAGATTCTGAGACGTCCGGTCCGTTGAGCGGAAAGGGTAAAACGGGAGGGTTTATTTCTAAGTAACCAACTATCGGGCAAACAACGCGAAAGAAATTTTTGCAAGGATACAGAAAAGTATGTATATTTTTACCTATACCAATAAATAACAATCCATATGTAAACGCACAACGGAACCTGATGAACACCTTTCGATATTAAAATTGATAAATTATAAACCAAAACATAAAGTTAGATTTCATTAAGTACCAAATAGAATAATTCTAATTATTAGGAAATTCAATACACCGAATGTTTTTCGGAGTAGTACAACTTCGTCACCTCGGTACGTCCACACAGCAGCGGAAAAAAATCTTGAAGCTGGGCGTGTCTGAAGCTTGGGGATTTTTTGCGAGCAACGCGACCAACAACCAATCACATGAATCTCCCGCCCCCGACATACAAAGCAATAGCAATGTTTAAACGAAGTAAACTGGATATAAACTCTCCAAACAGGCGAAAACCTACCGGTTTCACCCACTGTCTCTGCCACCTCCCTCAATGCCTGGTTCCTCCGGTTTGTATCCCGGTAAATAGTTCTGGTCGTAAAGAACCGGGTGATTTGCTACCGTAATTTCTCGTTTGGAATATGAGGAAATGAACTGCGGTCTGGCTCTCCCAGCTTGCACGCGGTTTGATTGGCTAGCGCTTGCACTGGCGGGATTTGCATAAACGGGATTTGATTGGCTGATGCCAGCTTCGAAAGCATCGGGAGCATCAAAAGTTGAACATTGCTCAACTTTTGATGCTCACGATGCTTGCAAAGCCATGCTCCGCTCCCCACAATGCAGTTCGGCGAAGATTACAAATCTTCTACGTCACCCCATTCAAGTGAATGGGCGAAGCTTTGAAAGATTTTTTTCATGCCTGTGTGTGGACGGGCCGTAACACCCCCCCGGTCAACAACTTCAAAATTCAGGGCTATATATAAAATCGCTGGCCCCCGAAAGTGTCTCTAGGAATATTTTTGGCCCTTGGACAAATGTAGTTGGTGATCCCTGCCCTACACCCTACCCCTACACCAGTGCTTCTCAAAGTGTGGTCCGCGGACTACTGGTGGTCCGTGAGCACCCCATAGTGGTCCGTGAGTATATTGGTAAAATTTCACATTTTAAATAAATAAATACATTTAAGGTTTCCGCACTCTCGCGGAAATATCTCCACCATGGAGCGAGCTTAAGTTTCACTGTTGATTGCAGGATATAGCCCAGCGCCACACCTTCGTCACACATGTTGCCACTTGTTTGTACCATTTTCAGGCGATTTGTAATCTGTTCTAGAAAAACTATGTGTTTTTGGATATTTGTGTGTTTTTTTACTGGTTAAGTGGTCCTTGGTATGAAAAAGTTTGAGAAACACTGCCCTACACACTACCCCTCCGTAACGGAGTGAAATCCGTGGAGTGACACTCGCAGCTCAACGAGGCTCCCTCTTGTCAGATGGAGGGAGTACATACAGCGGCAAGCTTTGGGATAAATTCCCCTCTCTCCGGCAGAAA